GACAAACAGTCTCTGACTTTGTCTATATTGTTTTGGATTTGTTGAACTGCTGCTTCGATTTCTGCTTCTAGAAACGTGTTGACCATCTACCAGAAGAATACTTCGTGTTTGCTGGGTGTTGTTACGATGATTAGCGGAGTTGGTAAAGGAGCCGGATGTAACTCCAGGTCAACTCCCTTTCCCTTGTTCGCCTTTCGTTCGTTGTAATCTGCCCACGAGATTTGGCTTTCTATGTTCTTCTGTGTTGCCTTGATCGTAGATTCTGATATCGTTGATTGAGCTTCTGCTGCTCTACCGATTGTTGTATGTGTTCCTCCGCAGTTATGTTCGCAGTGGCACGGTTCTTCGTTTTGGCAATCGACGTGCACACCGTAGTACTTGGTCCAGAAGTTTTTGAATACTGTGTCTTCGATTTGGAGGCCTCCTCCGTTGCTTGCTGCTTCTGTCCAGTAGCTATTCCAAGGAGATACCACTTGTGGTTCGTCCCAGAAGTATGCTCCCAAAGGTTCCTCGGATTCGTTGAGGATAGCGTCGATGCTATCAAAGTCGTTCAGAGGTTCTTGTTCGAAGAGGTTGAGGGTTCGACCAGCTAGGTCGAGAAAATTGATTTGGGATTGTTGAGGTTTGTTGCTGTTGTATGCTGGCATCTAAAACAGCGTGGATCCTTCTCGTCGATGTTTCCACAGGCACACAACGCAGGAATGTCTCCAAAAGCTGTGTACTGTGAGCTTATTTTCGAAGTTTCCAACTGATTTAAATATGGAGCAAAGGGAGTTGCAGGGTCTATGGCAAAAGTAACAACCGCTTCGATGAGAGTAGCGGCACATATACTAAAGTATAACCAGTAGAATTGATTATAGACTCGTTCTTCTGTCAAGGGTTCAAGGCCCGGAGTTCTAGGGGTTATAAAAACCAAACTAAGACAGAGGTATTGTGCGGTGATGCAGTGATCGCGGGTACTGCGTAACAAGCAAGAGACTCGAGATCCGGAATCACAGAAGTGAATAAAGGTTGGTGCCGAAGCTATTGATTGTTTTGTAGACTAGAGAACGAGTGAAAACAAACATATCCTCCGCGAATCCAGCATCCTTATATACAGTTGACGCGACCGTCGTCACCTTTGCTCACTCGTTCCAAAATACATCCTAACTCCACCCAACTATGTACGCAACCCTTCCAGTCCGCGGCCTACGCCATAACCATCACGCCATATTTACAACGCAACCAACAAAACCTGATTCCTTCCAACAAAACCTGATTATTTCCAACAAAACCTGATTCTTTCCAACAAACCTGATTTCCTTCGTATTCCCTTCCCCCTTCATCGATCCTTATTCCTTCTTCGATTCTCACTCGACACAACCGTGACAGTATTCCTGTATTCCAATCATCGATCCATATTCTTCCCTCGATCCTCGCTCGACACAACCGTGACAACAGGCTATTTTTGACTTTTGAAGCCTTTAAGCTTTTGGATTTTATATTCCCTAGAACCCCAAGCCCTGAACTCTTGACATTCAGCCCTGAATCATGGACAACTTTTGTTATTATCTGTATTTCGACAGGTACTTCATTTGGCAATTGCAATCTGCTACACACCTAATGAAACAACCCCATACTCGGACAGTAAAATCACAACTTTTCGACATGTTTTTATATACCCAATACACTTATAACTTTCTATTATTACATGCAAACAATTTATGGCAATCAATCAAACATTTTTAAAGGGATTTTACATGCAGACACTATTGCATGCAGCAACCGTTGATGTAAATGGACAGAATTTACTACTTGCATAGGCAGTTGTTGAAAGCAAAAACAAAAATTCATGGGAGTATTTTTTCTGACATTTAAGTTATTCAATTCTGCAGATCCTCAATAGTACAATTATTATCAACAGTGATGAAGGTTTACTCTCAGCTGAAGATATTCTTGAGCCAAATATGACATGTCTTTTTTGTTTAAATCACTTTAAAGGCAACTTCATCAAGCATTATGGCCAACATTATATCCTACACTGTTGGCGAATTGCAAATACAACTGCTGATGTGGAATATTAACAAGTAATATTGGAATTACTGATTCAAAATGCATCAGTAGCAAGATATCTGGCATGAGTGAATACAAGTATGTGGGTAACAGCATATATTCCAAATAGTATCCAGCAACAGTGTGGGCAACATATATCGAATGTAGCAGACTGACAGAATAATATATTACACAATATACAACTACTAAATATCAAGCTTCTATAAGCAATTTGGGATTACATAATAAATGGGTACTTTTCTCAGCAGCAACAAATTGTTCAATAGAACACATCTGCTCAACCCTGGCCACCAAGTGTCTGTGACATAATACAGTATGCATGCAAAAATACTGGAAGACATATGATAACACATGCCACAGTAACCCTTGGACAGGTTGGGAGCTATATTGTTGATATCACAAAATGGTCATGTGGATGCAGAGTATTTTGAGAGTACCAAGTTGCCTTGCGAACATGCTGTGGTATATATATGGGACATGGAGAGATACGGTGGAGGAGCACTCGGAGCGCATATACCCCGCAAGTATACAACAGCTGCTTGGACTGAAACTTATGCATATGTTGGCAACGAACCGTAGGGATTCGTGAGAATTGACGAATCGGTTTGATTTGTGCGAACCGAATCCTTGCCAAGATTTTTGCTCAAACCCCACTAAATTCGACCCCGAATTTCGAACAAAAATAATTAAGCGAGTTCTTGTCCGATCGGCTCGATTTTTTTTTTATCTGGTAGGTAACTTCAAGCGCTACAAGATAAAAAAAATTTCGAGCCGATCGGACAAGAACTCGCTTATGTCTTTTCGTTCGAAATTCATTGGTTCGCGAACCAGTTTGTAACGAACCGGCGGAAATTCGCAAATCTCGGATCAAACTCGAATCGAATCCCTGCTCGGTTCGATCCGTCACAAACCGATTCGGTTCATTGCCAACACTAACTTATGCATACAACCTACAACCAGTACACTTTGATATTACAACAGAAATACGTTTATTGAAGGAGGGTGAGCTATATACACCAGATATCAACATACCAAGGATAATTGCACCTACTGGACGGTTTCAAAATATACTTGGATGACGCAAAAATGCATGTGGAATTACTGGAACGCGTCCATTACACACAACTGGACAAATAACACAAACATGTTCAAGCTGTGGAGGCGGTGGACATAATAAAAGAGGATGTGTATTAAAAACTTATGCTAGATAAACACGAAATTTTATGTATCTATTAATAGACAAAAGACTCGGCCCTCTTCCTCTCTTCCTCCTCACCCCTCCTCAGCTGCCCCAACAAAGAAGCTGCCCCCTATCCCCCCAGCGAAAAAAAAACCACCCTTTTATACTTTTCCAATGTGCACTACCATCAACACTCTCAGAATCCTCACCCTGAGCACCAAAACGCGTTTTTACGTATTTTTACCCTTATCCACAGTGCCCACAGAGCAATCTCCGCCCCTGGGGCTGCACAGACATCGCTCCATTCCGCTTTCTCTAAGTTTGCTGGGTAGACAGGGCACGGCAAACATCGTACCCCTGCAAGCCGGGTATGCTGAACGTTTGTTTGACTATAACTTATTTTTAGTAAGCATGAGTCTACATGAAAAAACGCCAAAAAAATTTGTTGCCGGGCAAGAGATGAATACATGTTCACTTGGCAGCTAGATTGTAAGGGAACTAGACGTAGGAGTATTAAATTAGATAAATTTTTTCATATAGGAAAGCTCTTATTGAGAAAAAGTACTTAGTGTCTGATTCACAAACGAATCTCGAAAGAAAGCCGCGTATGGCAGGCGGCCTTAAACCTACCAGTCGGACCAGTATTTGAATAATTTCATCAGCAGCAACGCAACAAAGCTTCTGAGATTTCCTGTGATATAGAATTATGGAATATGGCATGCTCTACAATTCTATGCAGCTTTTCTTATTTCTTTTTGTAGGGTTGTCTAGGTGATGGAAATTGGGAGTAGATTTTCTGGTCTGTGCACGGAATTTTACCTAGTCTCCGACATGTAGGTTTAAGGCCGCCTGCTTACATCAACAATAGAATGAACGATTACAGCGAATTCGAAAGCCGGAGGAAACAACAAATACGAATTATTCAAGAAAATGGCAGATTGTTAGGTATACCTATACTGGCAATCATTAACGAAACAGGAACAAATGGAATGCAAAACCCAAATCAAGTACACAATGTATCAAGGGAGATAGAGAACCAAAAACCTGTGCGACAGTCAAGCTCGGCACTGAGGATACTTCCGAGTTTCAGTGGCAGGAGTTTCAGGCAGAGCTCAGATAATGTGTTCGAAAATTCACATATTGGAAGACGTGTATTACAGCCACAGTTGCAAATATTGCAAGCTTGGCCACCAGCAAACGACCCGACAGATTTCGCAGCATTAAGGGACGAGCAGATGCGCAGAATAAGAGAGAATGCAAACTTATTGTCGTTACCTCTACCTGTACCATGATCTATAGTACCAGCTCAGCCGGCTATCAAACAGGATGAGGAAGCAGATATATATTCGAATCAGTCCCGGTGAGAAGCAGATATGGGACTTGACGACGAAGTCCAGGAAAGATTGAAGCGAACAATCAGTAACTTAGAATCATGATTCGAAGAGAGAGTATCATCCAGCAAGAACTGGTATAACAAGTGTACGATGGACGAGCGAAGGAATATTTTTCGAGATAGTGTTTGGCGGAGGCATCGACGTTCCCAATAGTCTCGTCCCCATCTCGCTCGCAAGATCGCTCGAGTTTTGAACGTTCCGTTGTGTAAGTTATTTAGATTGGTTGAAAAGGGATTGCACTTTTGACAGACTACCCGCACGCGTGTTCACTTGTTGTACTGTATGAAACCAGTGACAAGAATTTTCTATTTTCGCGCAGCCAAATCACCCTAGATAGGATAAGAGCACAATTGCCAAAACTCTTTCACATCCCAGCCCAATTGGTCTAGTGGTATGATTCTCGCTTCGGGTAATTCCAAGTTACTGAGTAACTCAAATGTGGGAGGTCCCCGGTTCAAACCCGGGATTGGGCCATCTTTTTTCCCCTCCGCTGCTGAACGTAATTACGTAGGATGCTCGGAGTCGTTGTGGTGATGCACACTCTGTAGATGTTATGGGTCAGTCAACAAGCGAAGAGAAGAGGTTTAAAAGACAAGAAATTTCCAGGTTACGTAGCGTGAACACGGGTGGCGGAGAACTCGGGACTTTGGTTGGTTTATATACTCCACAATGCCCCCACGAAAATTTGTTTTCTTGAATCTATGTGATTCTGTGTGGTTCTATCCCTACACGCCCGAATTTCTGATTGTTGCATTTCCTGTTTGAGGTGTCGATCATGAAATTTGGCCAATCAACGGCCTGAAATGCATCGCCTTAACATTGACCGACCAATGAGCGCACACGGCTGGAGAATGCAACAAATCAGAGAAATTCAGGCATAGCTCTTAGCGAACTGAAGCAGCACGGTACCGCAATAGGCTGTTGGGAAGCTTTGGCCAGCTGACAGACAACTGTGTTTTCGACCACACCACATTGATAATCTTACTCTTCCGTACCATGTATTCATATACACACGTATAACAGTATATCCATTATCCACACCATACAGACGTCTGAAAGCTTTTGGAACATCCACTCTTGAGCTAAGCTGGGCAAGCGGGATTGGTCGAATTGAAGCAGCCAGTCTTCAAACTTCCAGTCCGAGTCCTGGAGCTGATACTGATGTGAATGTCTCACATTCCATTCTGTCTGACGGTCTTACTATTCCCAGAATGAGCAATGGAGTAGCCTGCAGACGCTCCAAATTCCAGGTCTGAGAAGTTCGCAACCATGTTTCCCAGATCTCAATTCTGGGAGGATTACCGTCCCAAAATTTCAGATTCTAACAATTAATCCTTGTTGGTTGTCGACGAGTCTGAAGCTTGTTCCAGATTCTTACGGGATGTGCTACAGTATAAGTGTTTCTATGTACTTGATGCTTTCAGGACAACGAGGCACAGTAGTTGGTTATGTAAATGTCTTCTTTCCACGCTGGCTGAAGATCTTGCTTGCATTGTCTAGTAGGAATCGTGAGCAGCCGCATTGCAGACTCACGCATGTGCTATACACAAATTTCCTCTTAGACCACTTTATTCCGCAAGAATTTAAAGCGGAAACGAGAGATGTTGCAGAATCACCCGCCATGGGGAGAAAGTCAATGCTGTATGCTCGCCGGATTTTCAAGTTTCCGGACACCCCTGTCATTGATTAGATGACTTCATTACATCCTTCTTGCCATCCCCTTTACTGAAATCTTGCTTCCCGCAGTGTGAAATCACCAGCATATGAACTGAGTGCTCATAACTGATTTTAGCACTTGGTTCTGTGATTTAGTAGTAATTCAATTTTGATGTGTAGCTATTTTAGTTGTGATATATAGTCATTGTAAGTTTAATGTGTTATCATGGGTGCTTATCCCCTGCACTGGTGATGTGTGCTGGATAAGTCTACAAAAGTCTAAACTGGAGCTACTGAGTTTAGCTTCACCCGATGCTAAGAGGAAATCGAGTTATATCAGAATCATGCGTACTGTGCCATGGGACAATAGAAATCTAAGTACGAACTCTAGATTCTTACTGTAGATACCTTTGGTTTTAGCAAGATTATTAAATCAGCAGGCTGAGACTGTGGTTGGAGTCTTCGGTTTCGTAATATGGGAGGCATTGGTGAACTACTAGTGGTGTGGTGGTAAAGCCTGAGTAAAGTAAGAAAATTGCAGTTCAAATGAGTGGCCAGTTAATCGGCACCACAGGCCACCAGCCATCATTCACAGATGTGGTTCGACCACCCAATAAGATGTACACCCCATTCTGGCCCCAACACCATTAGCTCCAATTTAAACTTTTGTAGACCTATCCAGCACACGTCACCAGTGCGGGGGATAATGGGATGTCCGGAGACTTGAAAATCCAACGAGTAGAGGGATGGCGCATATATTATCACTCGGTATTCATTCCTTCCTTCCTTCGCAACCCATGCTGCAAGGCTCACTTTCTACAACAGACGTTCGTTTCTTCGTTCTCCAGATATCATGATATACCTACCTAGCCACCCAGTTCCGACTAACCGCCTATCCTGGATCAAACATTCTCTACAATCGGAGGGATTGAACGTGTACATCTAATCAAGCGGGGTTATATAAGATATTTCAGCTTTGTATACTGTAATCTAGGGGTTTATGTTGATATCAATTACTACAGCGTTTTCAAAGGACCAGGGGAATTTGGTGAGGTTGATATTCTGCTCCATAGCGTAAAGACACAAATATCATACCCCTACGACGCTTTAGCGTTTTTACTCTCCCACCGCCTCCTCCCCCGTCTACAGAGGGGCCATCATACCCCATACGTATCTGCATTTTTACGGTCCCTGATGAAGATTTTCTGTTTCTGGTCCACAACACTGGGAGATAAAAGTGCTCTTGCCATAGTTAACAGCATGCTCGGCGGAACTAGGACCACGTTCTGCATACTGGGGTCTTCACAGGCTGCTCAATGTTCCTAAGCGGTCAGATCGACCGCCCAGTGATCGATAGACCCATAAACCGGCCGGGGCTCGGTTACTCTTTAACGAAGCCGCACTTCGCATAGACGTCAACCCGCCAGATCAACGGTCGAAAAAATCCTAGATATCTATCTCGGCGTAGAAATTTGTGGATATATATGGATATCTATAGATGGCTAGCGGTTAGGAGAAAAAGCGGTGGGTATTTATGTACTATCTACAGGTCTCTGTGAAATTCGAGTTCTAAGCTGAAAGTATAAAGTACTAGCTTCTCGCAGCACTATTCTCAGGATACCTTTCCTTCTGCAGACCCACCTGCCCTGTGCCATCTATAGACCGGCCAAATCACAAAACCTAAACCCGCACCCGGCAAAGACTGGCCTGGTCGAAGCCACATCTGATCGAACTGAACACTGAACTTGATTAGCTTGTAAACAAAAGGGAAATCTCCTGGACTCTCCATCTCCATTTATTGGAAACAATTAACCGGACACTGACATCCGCACCCCCAAATTCTTGCGGCCGTCAAAACCATGGCAAAAACATATAAAGCTGCCGACGTAGCCTCGACACAACCACGGATTTTGAGAAGCCTTAATACTCCTTGGCCGTCCCTCGATTCTAGGGTTACTGTGCGCAACCAAGCCCTTTGCTATTTATGATGGAGAAGGCACGGAGGGGGGTTGGTTGATATCGTCATGTCTTATGCCATATACCTTATCCCATAGCCTTCTTAACTCAAGTGAGCATGTTACCATTGTGTCTACTTATTCTTTGCAGCGACCAACTAGTTTCACCACGACCTCGCCGTCCCGAATGGTGGAAACTACATCTTTGAATGCAACGTCACATACCAAAGCTGCATTTTTTGCCCTGGTCGGATAGCCCCCTACTACGGATGATGCTAACCTCGGAGGGAATGGTATTTTCTGCTCCAGCAGGGTCGTAAGGTGGTCATGGATATTTACGTTATTGGATTACAGGCCAATATATTGATACCTTCGTCTTTAGTGTAATTTGTTTGTCTTCGTTTTCACGTATGCGTGGACTGTGCTGTTAAGGAGATATGGACCCCGTTGATTTTAGGGTGATCGAGATATACGTCTTATATTGTACGGTGTGTGATATCCGTAGAATACGAGTATGCAAAAAAAAAACAATGACGCTCAACAATCCCCTCAAAGATGTCTTCTTAAGGTAAGTTAAACCACCAACTGCAACCAAGCTTATGTCAACCCAGCAACCCTTCAACCGAGTTGTCTGATATCGCAATATCATATTCATCCAGTAGATTTCAAAGAGCCTTATGTTAGTGAATTATTGTTACATTACCTCTCACTCACCTTTTTCACCCTTATATAACCACACAAGAGCCCAGCGCATAGATACTTAGATAGTTTTCTGAAATTAATTCTCAAGAACAACATCCTCTAGCTGACTGCGATGTTTTAGTAAAGTTCCGAAATACCTGCGCGAGTGAGAATTCATGTCTTCTGCGGGATCTAAGCTCAGTTCTGGCATGCTTCCCACCGACTTTACTACTTAGGCCGAAGGACTTATACTGTTCTCAAGCTTGAAAGGGATACCGGCGAGGATTCTCTCCCTTAATGCTGTATAAGAGCTTATAACGATGACATGCACGCATTTTATGACTAGGACACCCAGACCCGGGACTAATATTATTATATTCCCAATACCATAAGTATCTCTAAGTTGTACGCGAGACTATTTGACGCTGGTATTAGTAGTACTTTCTCTTTCTCTACTTAGGAATCAGATTCAAGTTACAATATCATCACAAAGACATTTTGACCCGCTGAAACTCTAAGACTGGATAAAACTACGTTTAGAAAATCTTTTCGAATTAGTTTGAGAAGTTTAACTGAATATATGAAGTCAAAAAAAACCGGATGCGGTAAAAGGGAAAAGTGGTCAAATTATGTAGACCGATACAAATAGGTTTAGGGGATATTTTGTGTGGGAAGGAGTGTCAAATACTTAGCGGACATGTATCGTGATTCATAAGGGCCATGAGGGGTACTATGATCTTGCGGATGACCATGATATGGACAGTTACCTAACGGTAATGCATAGGACGAAGTAGTAGCAGGCGCTCTAAAATATCTAAAAGTGATACTGTCTCTTTACTATCTACAAATTGGCCTATTCGGACGGACCCGTGCACGAGGGATTTTAACATCTGGTGGTTACAAGGGATCTTCGCAACATCTCAAAGCTTCAAACGAGGTCAGGTACCTTAAATTCTGCTGTCCCTTATGAAACCCAGGTAAAAAAAGTTCATTCAGAACTATAATCCAAACCTAAAGATATCTGCTTCTCCTCCTCCACCACATCCTTCTCAACACAAACAACGTCCTTCTCGGAGCTGATATCCCGTGCTTTCCTCTTATGTATCTTGATCCCCAAACCCGGCCGTGGCCGATCATGCTGCCCTAAAAATGGGTCAATAGCTACTCTAGTATTCCTCATC